CCCTTCATTGATTGTTATGTTTTAAACATGGTCACAAGAATTTCAGAAAACATGTAAGAACTTCCTCAGAACCATTTCTGCTAGGCCCATCTTTCCATTTGGAAGTCAACAGCTACGAGAGGAGGGTGGTTATTCTCATCATGAACTGGAGAAAAGACAAGCACAGGCAGAGACTCTGCACTAGCAAGGAGGTGACCATTGACCAGTATTCTTCAGTGCCTATTTTACAGTGTTCTGAATTGTAATCAGTATTCTCATGTGCCATTTTGACTATAGGCTCTACTGTCTGTTTTGTATACAGGTTTGTCAATAAAATAGAGCATGCTTAGTTGTTAACATGTGTTCCCAATTTCACAACCACAGTAACTGGTACCACTGTGAAACTACAACATTTGACAGGCCTTTTCCCTGCTAGTGTCAGGCTCCTGCCCTGATTCAAAAGAAAAGAACATTAACCCTGTCTTTTCCACATCTGTGGACGTTCATCATAGAAAGCAGAAATAACTTCAAGAACACCACAGCAAGTTGAAACTCTTCAACATTCAATTCTTTTTTAAGCATGAATTTTACGTTTTACTACTGAATATAGTTAGATGCTGCTCATAGTTGTTCATGTTTTTCTGGGGTGGAGATCAAAATCCTAAAAGAAGCTTCCCAACTGCAAATTACACTGGTCCCTGGAGTACAAAATCTGCATGCAAGGACACACAGGAGGATCTGTCAGTTGCTCTCAAATTCAGCTTTACTAAATCATATGTGGAGTGTATTACCGAATATGTTTCTTTAAAAGAAAATATCTAGTTTAAAGCTATAATTTGTTCCTACCACCAAAGAGCTGCCATCACTACACTCAATATTTTCTAAAAATCTCACATCTGGATTACAATAACTAGAATACTGTCTGCACTAAATGCTGGAATGCAGAAAGCATTTCACTGTCACCAGAAATTATGTTAGTCCATTAACCTTAAAATACCTCTTTAGTTAATCCATTTCAAATTACAGATGGACCTTTTATTCATAGTAAATATTAATCATTTTCTTAAAGCTGATCTTGGATCTGAACTCCTTTCCTGCTCCTGCATCTGTTTATGTGCCTTTTCATTTACACCCTGTCCCATCTGCACTGGGCAAGCTGTGGGTCCCTCCAGTGTAATTAAGAAGTTAATCTGAAGGCAAGTACAATGTGATTGGATACATCATGTACCACGGCTAAAGATGTATGTGGTATTCGCAACAGTGACTTCACTACATTTATGTTTTCTTAAATTATCAGAGAATTTGGCTAAACCCACCAGTCCTGCTGCTTGAAACCTGTCAGTGCTGTCAGGCTCTCCTTTCAACCTTGCCTGTAGCTCTGATCATTAGGTTCATATTGATATTAATAGTGGCAGGTAGTTCTAACAAAGCCTTCCACCACATTGTCAGACTGATCCTGGGTCCTCCTGAGAGAGACCCTGCTTAAATGTTACCAACATCTAGTAGGCCATTTGTGCCTAAAGACTCCTTCTGCCCCTCAGCAACCCCTCAGAAATAGCAATCAAACCTGTAAACTTTCTGTGATGTATTGGGCCTACATAACTGCTGGACTGGGTAGAAGAATTTGAAATACCAAATTAATTTAGACTTAATGTTAGAGAAGCCTGGAAAAATCTTATTGCTTCAACTATAATTAATTTCCTGAATCTAGTGTAAGGGAAATAAATGTGGTTTATTCTAAAATTAAATGCAATGGCAAAATTAATTATACTAGCCAGTCAAGTTAAATTGCAATTTGAGTGCATGTACACACCACACTGTATGGCAGTTAGACTAATTAGACAATCTAATTGGAGGAGACACTGCATATATATTTAGGCATTAAAAATAAATTTAAAGAATTTAACTGGAATATTTTAAGAATGTGAATAAGGTAGGCAATTATATATGTCTCAAAAACTCCAGGCTATAATAGTGAAAAGGCATGTTCTCTAACATACTCTGAACTTTAAACAAAAACTGCTTGCTGTTTGCTGAAGCAGGTGAATACAGATAGAAAAATATGCTGAAAATACGAGGGATGTCATAAGTTTAAACAAAATTGTACACAAGTATGTTGACTTAACTAACATGATATGATATGATCCCTATAAAACATGACACTGCAGCAGGACTGTTCATCATTTACCTAGTATGTCTGTATAAACCCAGAAGAGCTGCCAATACCCAGCACACATGAAAAAGGAGATGACATGGAGAAAGTAATGACTTGACTTGGCTTCTCAACTACAAACTGGGCTTTTTGTTTTGTTTTTAAGAGTGGAGAATGGAAGTTCATACAATGGAAATTCATATTTTTAAATTATCACGTCGCCCTACTTTTGATATGCTGCAGGTATGTCTAGCCCCAGTTTTGATATTCTGCAGGTATATCTAGCATTGCCTTTATCTTACCTCCTTAAAATCTGTCCTTTCGGTCTCTTTTTCCATGTTACAGTACCTGATAATCTGCCTGAGATTTTCTCTTCCTTGTCCTTCAATACTGAATCACTGATTTTCATTGTATTTTGAATGTTGAAGTGGATTTGCTCACACATGTTCAAAAACAGGTCTTGAGAAACTTTCTGTATGCAGACTGAAGAATGATATTGCAATTCTGCAGCATTATATTCTTCCTCATTTCAAGAGTTTGTTCAGACTAAAAGCTGAATGCATTAGTCTTTGCAAAACATTCCTTTGAGCTACACACTTTATGTGCAGAGGAATATTTCTTTAAAAATAAACTAAGAGAAAGTGGAGTATTATTATTTCTGAATAACCTTCTTGACACACAAGAAGCATTATTTCCTTATATTTATTAGAAAACTGAAGTGAGAGGTGCAGGCATACAGGAATTCTGTCATACTGGAGACTCTGTAGCTCCACTGTTTCATAGTTATCATGCTCTTCCTGGCCCAAGTTGAAGTGATGGGGACAGAGACAGAGGTCCTTACCCTCTGTCAGTAATGTGGGACCACAGGCCTTCTCATCTGGAATGGTATCAAGGTCTCTCTATCCAATTTGGAAAGATGAACAGCTATTAGACCTTTGCAATCAATACCTTCCCACATCTTGATCAAGACATTTGAGGAAATTTACGCCTCTCAGATCTGTCGTCACAGGTAGTAAAGACAATGTTAAACTAGATCTGTCTGTTTAATTTTCATTTCCTTGCTAATATAGGGGCTAGTGTCTTTAAGCAAATAGGAAAAAACAAGTTCTGGTACGTCAGTAACACTGAGGCAGGGGCCCAAAGTGTGTCATGTTTTAATCCACACTAGGTGTTTTGTACTCTGATGAAACAAAAGTAGTGAATCATTTTATGTGTTTTGCAGCTTAGGAATGAAATTTTAACAATGCACCTCCAGTTCTACTGACATATGCTTATAAACAAAAGCATAATCCTATTTCTTTTCTATTCCGAGAGGCATAAAGTCGATGGGAGAGAACAAAATAAAGCTTGCACCACTGGAAGAAAATCTGGAGCTCAAAAACTCTGGGTTTGTGATCTCTGTGTTAGCAACCATCTGTTGCTTTCACAGCGTACAACAGCAATCGTAAGAGGAGGTTCTCACTCCCAACCATCTGTTTTTAGAGGGGAAGCCAAAAATAGGCATCAGGCAGAGTTGCTAGAGGAATCCAGCCTCTAGCAGCAAAGGGTAATCACTACTGCTGCTCAGAGGGGCTCAGTGAGGCAGAGCAAAATCCCAGCTAAAAGCCCAGGTTTTAACCAGTTTCATAGTAGGGCTTGGTAATAACAGGCAGAAGTCCTCTCTCAATATGAATTGCCATACTTTAATTTTTGAAGTGCATTTCAAAGCTTCCTTCATTTTTCAGTTTCCCTCCCTGAAAATAAATTTCTGTTTCAGCAGGTCCCTGTAATATTCTGGAAAACTTTAGAAATGAACCATAATGACTGTTGTACATAACATGTACCCCAGGGACTTAGTAACAGCTCACAGTTACCCCTGGACACATCTCGCCATCTCTCCCAAATTGTTTAGATATAAAGGCTGATCTGCGGCTTTGCCATAAGCACCAGGCAAAGCCTCTGAAAGCAACTGCCTACTCCAAAAGCACACCAGGAAACAGACTTCACCCCGCTGAATCACCCTGTGGTTTCTGATTCTAGGAGATGCTCGGTGGGGGAGGAGAGAGAGGGAAGTGGCCTGTACTGCCCCATGCCAAGCACAAATTGCTTCCTTGGCTAAAAAGCACTCTCTATTTTTTTTTCAGTCTGGGCTGTATAACTCTGTAACCCTTTGCAAGGAAGGAGGGTGGAGTGTCCCCCAGGATGCTGGTTTCCTGGCACTGCTGCTCACAAGAAGGCACCACTAATGCAGGACCATTTGGCAGAAAGTTGCAATTTGGACTGACACAGCATTGCCATAAAATGTCTGCTTGTCCAGTCCTGCAACCCAAGCTCTGTTACACTGATCACTGCATTTCATTTTGTATCTGTGGCCACTGGCTTTTGAACACACAAAACGAGATGCAGTGATTATTTCCTGGCTGCAGGGGAAAAGTGCACTACAGACCCTCTGTCTCTCCTCAGGCTTTTGAGGATACAGCTTGCATTGCTAAAGAAAGCAGAATTGTCCTGTTGTGGCTTGCTCACACAGGTTTCCCAGGGAGTGCAAAAAGCTGCTGATTTGGGCCCAGCATCTATTTTTAATTTATAGAAAAGGCTTCAAGAATGCAGGGTAAGTGCTCTTCCATTGTATTCTAAAAATGAAGTAAGCTGATCTAAATCCATTTCTGAATTCCTGTGAGGAGGACTGTTCAAAGGACATATGAATTATACATTGAAAAAGCCCAGGGTCTGTGAATTAGGATTTTTATTTTTTTTTTACAAAACTTTCCTTCTGGCATATTTGAGAACTGTGCAACTGCTTACATGTCTGAAAAGCTTTTCTGTATAGAGAGAAATAGCTGGAAGATGGAGCCTAGTAAGATGGATTTTAGAGCATCAGAGACAGAAGGACAGAATATTTCTTTAATTATACACAAAATTGCCTTTAACTGTTCAGATTTGATCCTAGTATGTATGTATGTAAGTAATGTATGATTCAATACTGACCAAATCCTACATCTTGCCATGTGGTAATGCTAAACTATTTCCTAGATGGTCTAAACAGCACTCTCCCTCCCTCCTCTCCATCACCACAAGAACTTCAACTTGCTGTCTTCTTCATGGTTTTCTAGAAGTGGAAGTTCCTGCATTTTCTCCATAAGGCTTATTATTTTAGCATCTGTAACAACAGAACATGGATTCAACTGACTGTAAGCAATATCGGCAAACACAGCTTCACTTAAACGCCTTCAGTTAAACCAGTTGCTTGTGGCAGAGTAACTGCCATGGACAGGCCCTTTCACTCCTTGCCCATGGGAAATATCAACACTGCAGTGTGTTCCTGTGCCAGTTCCCTTCTCACTGGCAGTGAGTTTATGAACAGCACTCTTTCCACACAGGGTTTCCATTTTCCCCAGGAAAGGAATTCACCCCAGTTGTGGTGACTGCAGCCATGAACAATCAGGATTTCCCATTCTTTCAGATATAGGCAGTCAAAGGAAAAAAATAAAATTCACCCTGACACAGGAGATGTGGTCAGATCCTCTGCTGAACCTGCTCTTTGGAAAGATGGGCTCTTTCACTTTATTTTCAAAGAATACGACCTGTTCTCCCAGGCAAAACTGCCTATAGATTGCAGTTGGTTTAATACAATTATCCATATCATATCAGATATGTCTTTTAATTACTACCTATATAAATCCTGATCAGACAAGAATCACTGATCAGTGAGGTATCCCATTCCCTTTCACTTTTTACAAATAAACCCCAAAAGCACATTCTTCAGTCCATAGATGAGCAACAGCTTTGTAAGACAGAAGACTACAGCTTCACACTGATTCCTCCAGATTAATTCCACATCACACAATTTCTCAGGAGGGTACCAGCGTCAGAGTACCAGTGCCATCATGTGCACATCGAATAAACACATCATGGTGAAAGAGTTTCTGGAATTACAGGAGTTGCTAAGACTCTTCTGTACCTCATTTTATGTCAAGTCCTGATTTGTCAGGGCTAACAGCTTCCTTTGAAGAACGTGGTAAAACACTTGATGATTTCACTGCAGCAGATGTTGAAAAACTGCCTAAGGTTTTTCTTTCTCAAGTGAGGAATTTGTAAGCCATCTCACTGCCTGTGGCTGGGCTATCTGTTGGTCCTAACTAAAGTTGCATCCCAGGTCACACCTGGCATCGCTCCCTTACTGACTCCGACACTGAATCCAAGTGGAACTCAGACCAACAAGGAAGCAGCATTAAGTCCTACTGATTGTCTTTAAGCATTCATGACTACATCTAATTTAGAGCGCAACCTGCCTGAGGCACTCTCAGTCTGTGTTTTATTCATCTGAAGCAATATACACACCTAGGATGCTGACAGATGTTCCTTTGCCCTGGAGAATAATGCTGCCACCTGCATTTTTATACGCACACCAGCGAGCGCCAGCCATAGCAAAGAATTATTGCACACGTGCCACAGCACGGATGCAGCACAGAGCAGGATTAAAACGGACTGGGGACAGTAGCTGTTAACGTGTCAAATGACACAACCTCTCCAGAACTGCTGAAAGTCTCATGTAGCATTCAGCCACATTTTTCTTAACACAACTTATCTAGTCACCAATCCAAACCAACAGACTGCTTATAAAACTACAGAACAGAGCAGTAAAAAGATACAGTTCCCGTCTGCCCTCTTTTTGCATTTTTTCTCATTAAAGGAGGGGCAGTTTTGTTACAAATTTAACTGCTAATTTAGAGGTTTAAAAAAAATCCTGAAGTCCTGAAAAGCCAGATTAGGTAAGGCCTGGTCTAGTGGGAGGTGTCCCTGCGGAGTTTGGGACTAGATGACCTTTAAGGTCCATTGCAATCCCTTAACATTCTGTGATACTGTCCCAAAGCATCCATTTTAGTGATGTTGGAGTTCATAATTCACAATAAAACTGCAGTATTAGGAATCAGTGTGCTTTATATTATTTCTTAAAGCCCAGTTTCCTGGAGTCTTGTGAAGAAAAATCACATCCTTTTCACCTTTTAAATGAAAGATAAATTTCTAGTACCAAACAGATACAGAGAAAACTTGAATACATGAAGCCCAAAGGTTTAAAGAAAACCCACATGCAGCAAAGGGCAAAAACCATTACGATTTCCTAGGTTTTTTTAGGTAGCAGTGTCTGCAGATAGGAATAGCTGACTCATCATTTTGAATGCCTGGGACTGACAAAACCTTGGTATTGCTGGAGTGAGTTTTATGTCTGCTTTGTCCATGTGTTCTCAATAAAGGAACTGGAACAAAGCTTATTGAAATCAGCAATCAGGGTGCCTGCTAGCACAGAGCTCTGGATCACATCCTAACACACTATAAGCCCTTTTACATTGCAGGTCAGTGCTGTGGAGTATTTTAGTCAAAATACAAATTTAGTTTGTTTTTTAGATGTAGTTTGGAAGCTGAATCAGGAGTTAGGCTGATGAAATGAAAACTATGCATTTTTATACTTACTTACGAAAATATGAAGAGCTCTTTGCAAAGGAAACAGATTTCAATCAAGAAGTCTGACTGTGAACCTGACGAAAATTCCCAGGGTCTTATACATTCTCTATCAGAAAATCTCCATCAGCTCATGCCACCTTACCCAGTTGTCCCATTCCATCACTTCTGCCTCCTACAGTACAGCTGTGGATTATATGATACTGAACTGACTGCAGATGCACAGACCAACTTAAAATGAAGTCAGGAAGTAAGAGTAACATTGTGCTGGAAGAGCAATAACAATTACTTGTGTTCAGTGTTGCCTTTTTAGCTGGCGATGTTTGGACAGCATCAAAACATGCCATGCCTCAAAGGTATTATAAATGAGTACAATTCAGGCAGAACTCTGCCACAAACTAAAGGATATCCACTGACTCTTAACCCAGGAAAAAGGGCTTTTTACTTGGCCACATAAGCAATGTTTAGCAAGGGTCTTTCTAGGTCAGTACGCTTCATAGAAATGTGCTTTTAACATATCAAATACTGAAGTTTCAGAGAACCTCTCAAATTTGGTTTGCTTTGGGTTCTTTATTTTGGCCTGCCGTTAATTTGCTGTCAATGTGGAAGAGACATTCTGGATCTACACTTTCAAATGCATCCCTTACCTTTGATTTTAACACAATTAGGTGTCACTATTCAGAAAAGCTGTGGGGCTTTTGGCACTCTGCAAATTAAACATAAATGTCTTGAGTTTCCAACATCTATCTAGTGGATGCTTCTGGGAACTCAGAGCAACATCTCCCATCCTGTGACTCCCCATCTGGCGACAGCAGAACTTACCTATCCTTCTAGGAAAGCTGTGATGCTTTCAAAGCGTGAGTCACAGCTCACAAGGAGGCGTTTCAATGCGAGCTTCACACTGGGATTATTATTGTTGCAAGGCCATTTTTAAAAGCAAATCTGAAAGTACAAGTCCCCTTCCTTTTAAAGGAAAAATCTATCTTTGCTTAAACCCTTGTCTAGAGAACTCTTGACAGATATTGTAAGCTCAGGTACTTTACCTCCTCTTACACTGAAAAACCTTAATTCCAAAGGGAGCATCTAGGCATGTTTTTATTTTATCTGCATACATCCAGTTGTTAAACCTACGTGGCTGGCAACATCCTGAGGCACAGAGCAGCTTCAGCGGAGGCTGAGCTATTCATAGGCCAGCACGCCAGCCGGGAGTGAGCTCATGAGCTCACAGCTTCCCAGCACCAGCTGCCAGCTCGGCTGGGACATGTAAAGGGAGCGAGGGAAAATGCATGTGGGAGGAGGGAGGCACAAGGGGGAACAGAAAAGGGACAGGATCTTAATTGCTAATATCTCATGTCAGGATCTGCCAAAATCACGTTAGAGGTCTCGGTGTTTACAACTCTGCAGTAAAGGATGGCAGGCTTTGCATTGTGTGAGACTGCTTTGCTCCAGGCTGGCATTTGGTGCTATGACTGCCTGGTAGGGGCAACTTCGAAGGAGCAGTGTGCTCTGAGAAGGAGCATTTCTATTTCACAACAGACCAGCCAAAATGATCAGCAGCTGCCTCTCCTCTCAGTAGGATACCAGTGGTACCTGCTAGCCCAGGGCTACCTACTAAAGCCAAGACAAACAGCCAGTAAGGAGTCTAAAGATTACTGCTATTTATTTATAGCAACTGCTGCAAGTTTGGTGACCATCCATTTAATAACCACACCTCACACACAGGCACATTCACAGTTATAACCATTTGTTTTTACACATCACCTTAATGCAGATCTTCCTAATATCTGAGTTAGCTTTATACACTTCAGCAGCCTGACCAACTTTAAAAAAAATTGCTTTTAACATCAGGGCTTCCGTTACAACCAAAAAATCCGTGTATCTGAATTAAGATGGCTGTGGCTGCAACCAGACTGACCATCGATATCTGAACTGAGAAGTACCAAGAAGTGGATTGTTGTGCTCCTGTGCTTAGCGTGTTTTGTGGTACTATTTTGGTGACAGTTGAGAAGCACTGAAAGCTTTGTTGTATCAGACCACATATTAAGGCCTTTAAGGCAGAGATATAAAAGTGAAAAGACAAGGAACACAGTTTACCTCAGCTTTGTCCAACCAGGCCACACTAGTATCACAACGGTAAGTGATGCTGAGGGATATAAATGTTATTATGAGGCACTGCACCACAGTAAGATTCCCCATACCCCTCTCTGCACTGCCCAGATGCTGGCTTGGTGCCAAAGAGGCACCAAACAGCCATGCTATGCCTCAGCATCTCTCTTCCCACAGAAACAGGAGCAACACAGGCTCTGCTACTGCAGTCTCCCTATCCTCCCTCCAGGTCCCAACCATCCTTCACAGCAGCAGAGCAAGAATTCCACCTGTATGCAGTCAGCATCTACTGGAGGAAAGGGACACCATGAATGAAAATTGACAGCAAAAGGGGCTGGCAGGAGGATGGACCCCAACTGCCATTTTAAACAACAGCCTTCAATATAGAGCAAAATCCTCAAAAGGCAACTGCTGTGTATCCTCCCACTTATCCCAATCATTTGGGACATGGAAAGGGGACACACACCACACCTCCTTGTTAGTGCTTACAGACATTTCTCCAGAAGTGTTAATATCATGGGAGCTGGCAGTATTACTGGTATTATGGAAGATCAAAATGATAATCAGTTGTCACCAGTTCAGAAGCACTCCAACGTGGTGATCTTAACAGACCCTTCATGAAGCCATGATTCTCTTCCCAAGCTGATTATGCCACATAGCCCTGCTCAATGAAGAGCAGTACTGAGACACAGTCTCCCAGAGCAAGACAGGCAACTACAAAGTCATCCAAACATCAGTATCACAAGCACCTCACATTTAAACTTCAGTGCACTGATGCAGATCTTCAATGCAGGTAGGTTCCACAGATCTCATCTTCCTGCAGAAACCAAGACCCACTCTTAAGCCCACACAGTGCAAGCAGAAGGCTAAAAGGAGCTGCTAGCTCCACCTCTGGAAGGAATTGCTGGAGGAATGGCACCAAATTCCCACGTGCCTCCCTGACATGGAAGGCTGCCTCCACAGCTGCAAATCCAAACAGGCTCTGAGAGCCTCCATTGCTCAGCAGCTGTACTGGCTATTTTCTGCCGAACCAGGGCCTCAGTATTTTCAGCCAGAGAAGAGCTGCCTTGAACTCACACACACCCAAGGGCCTGTGTATAAACTGAACATTGTGAACCACTAGTGGCATTTTTCTCTGCTATGTATAACTAGGAAGAATGGGATTTTAATAGATTTATTCTCAACCTACTTTAAACTCACAAAGATATGAGGCCTTATGTCATCATTATAGTTACTACATGTGATCCTGTGTGTGTTATGAAGAAGCAAGCTAGAAATGAGTACTGGATGAACCAAAAGCTTGCAACTCCTCTGCCAAAGCAAAGTCTGTCACAAGTTGCTAAATACATAACCACGCAAGTTAAAGAGTCCCACACACTGATAAGTCAGTATTTCATGGCGATGAGCCTACTGTGCACCAGCTATGAACCAAAAGGTCTTTGTTCTGCTATGGACTTCATGCGTGGATTTGGAGTAGGTCACTGTTTAAACCTTCATTTACCTCCTCACTCCTCTTTCCCCTGAATTGAGATCTGTAGACTGTAGCTATACTCTGTCCAGAGCTGGGAGTATAAACATGCTGAAGACTGTGAACTGCTTAGAGACCACAGTGATCACGCACTGCCAAGTTTTGATAAAATTATACTATCAGGCCAGTATTCTACAGTAAAACAATTTGAGGGTGACAGCATTAGAAATAAAAGCACTGATGTATGCTGGCACGGAAATCCCAACTCTGGGCAGCAGGCATGTATCAGATACAGCATGCTGTTTCCCCACCACAGAGAAGGCATCATCAACTCATGTCTTTTCTGCTCTTTACTATATATGTTTAAGCTTTAAAGGAAGCTTTCTGCTATTGCACAAAATAAGACAGGCTTTCAGCCCACTCTCTGACAAAGCAGCCTTTAGCTGAATGAAGTTGCTGGACTGGAAGCCTCAGATGTCCAGCAGTTCCCCAAACATGCTGAAGTGGGATGGGCATAGTGGGAAAGATTTTATTAGCACCACAGGTCTGACTAAAAGGGGAGTTTTGCCAAGACTAGATATATCTGTTAAGTAGCCTCATTAAAAGACCCTACATGAGCTGAGGCTCCTCTGAATCAGGCCAGCAAGATCTGTTCCTAAGTACCTCGAAAACTGCTCTGTAATTCAAACTGAAGAATCCAGCTTTTCAGAAACTGGAAAAAAAGCTTACCTCAACTTTTTACACCTCTGGATATACAACTTCACACTGACAAAATTTTTTTAGTCTAACAGGAATACCTTCACTTGCTGTTCGTTGTAAACTGGCCAGTTTACCCTCCTAACTTTTGAGGAGGCAAAAGGTCACCTGGGTTTGTACTCAGCACATTCACACAGAGTGGGATACCACAAAACCACCTTAGTTAAGGTTACACAGATCTAACAACACATACTCCCATTAATAGCAACAAGCCCAGCACAAACAGTTTGAGACAGCATCCCCAAATACACTATGCATATGTACAGTAGTGCTAGGGTCACTTTCACACTTTCCAATGCTCATTATTAAAAAAAAAAAAAAGAAAATTAGCTGCATATTAACCAAATGCTTTCCCTGAGCGCTAAATACTCATTTTGTAACCTACTTAAGCAACATTTTACAAGCCGTGTTTTAAACCAATTACTATTGAAAAACAGGACTATGACAGTAATAAGAAATGCATTTAGTTGGCATAAATTTGCCTAGTTTGTGTTTATGTCAGTGAAATGACAACCATGAAGTCAGTCTTTGTGGGAAGAGTCTCACCCTTCAGGGTATCAGCTTTCTGGAAATGGGGCTGTTTCCTACAATCCTCATGGAATTAATTATATTACTGATTTCAGGCCTAACAAAGATATAAAAGACCATTCAAATGCTGATTCCCTTACCTAAGGCTATATGCAGATCTAAAAAGGTACCCTAATTCAGGCAGCAGTTGTTCAAGTAAGTATAGGAATAACATGGTTAAAAATTACCACTTCAGTCTATGCAAGTTCGGTGAGATTATCTTACTAGTTGCTCTTTACAACAAGGAAGCATGTCTGAGGTCATGTGAGACCAAAGCACATGCTCATGCTGCAAGAAGTTTTAATAAAAGGAATACACAACTTTACAGAAACCCACGCAGCATTTCCATATATGCTCCACACCTCCTGGGGTCAGGCCCTTCACGAACTGCTTCTAATAAGGCATCCCCAGAAAGCTGGAAGTACTCTAACCCCGGAGGAGACCGTGCTCGGCCCGCAGCTGGTGCCGTGCAAGTTAAGCTAACAAAGAGGTGACATGAATCATGGAGCCCTTTAGAAACTACTACACCAGTGATCCCTCCAAACATCCAGCATTTTATCCATCATTAAAGTTACTTAAGAGCCGTGCTGACATCACAGCATCTTTCACAACCGGCTGTAATCTTAACCAAATGAATCACTTGAATTGTCTGGGACAGCAAAAGAAACCCAGGTTATCTCAAAGGCAGTGGCTGAGATATTTTTTTCCACGTTATTATTTTCCACCTTTAGTTTAAACAACTCTTTGGAGCTATCTGAGCGCTGTAAAGCACAAACAAGGCAAGCTGCGGCAGCCTGGCTCTCTATCCGACCCGAGGCGGCTGAGGCAGCGTGTTCCCTGTGTGCTGAAAGGGGCATATTTTCCCACCTAAAGGCCGGCGGAGGGTCGGCACCCCAAGGGGGAGAGGGGCTGGCCGGGGGCGATGCCCGGCCCAGAGCAATGCCCTGCAGGCGCAGGGCACTCCTCCGACCCCGCCGGGCGATGCCGCGGCGCCCTGGCCCCAGCACCGCTAAAAATAAAGCCCGTCTCCGCCTGCCCGCCCTCGGGAATCGGGGTTGGATCGATGGTTTTCTTTTAAATCTGGTTTTTATCAATCCCCCCCTCCCCCGACAACCCGGCTCCGAACCGCCCAGCTCGGACCGCAGCCCTGCGAATAACTTCAGGGATGGCCGGGACCGCCGCCGGGCGGGGGGACGGGGCCGGGGGGCCCGCGGGCAGCGCTCGGCACTCACCTGGCCGGCGGTGTCGTACAGCCCCAGCAGGTACTGCTTGCCCCCGACGGTGACGCTGACTGCGAGAAGGGAGAAACACAGCGGGTGAGGGGGGGCACCCCCGGCCGAACCCCTCCAAAACCCCGGCAGGGCCAGGCCGGGGGACGGAGTGAGCAGGGAGGGGGGAGAGGGGGCGGCAGCCGCGGCCCCCCGCCCGCTCACCTGCGTAGTGGTCGAACACGGTGGGCACGTACTCCTCGGGGAAGGCGTCGTTGGCGTAGCTCATCAGCAGGCACGTCTTGCCCACGGCGCCGTCCCCCACCACCACGCACTTCAGCATGACCGCCGCGCTGCCATGGGCCATGGCCGGAGCCCGCCCTCATGGCCCCGCGGGCGCGCCCCGCCGCGCCGGGCCCCTCGGCATCGCCGCCGCCGCCGCCGCCGCTCAGCGGGCGCCCCC